TTTGGTCAAAGGTCTTGCCCTCTTCACGTTCTGAACGAGAGGAGTAACTGTGTTCAGATGGTGAAGCCCTTTCCTCTTCATCAACCTCCTCCCATTCTGGTAGAGAAGAATGGACCCTGAGGTCCTGGGGCCTGTGTAAATCAGGGTGATGAGGCAACTTATAGATTGAGAAGGGAGAAGGGCCTGAACCCTTTCCGGAGGTTGAAAGATTTGCTTGAAGCCTTCAGCCAATCCCTGCCTAATGGCCAAAGAGACAACATCTTGGATATACCCTGGTCTATGCTCAAAGGTAGGGGCAGAAGGCCGAAGGCCCGCTGCTGAGGGAATGAAGGTGGCTTCAGGCCTAGATTGAGAAGAGGTTCGAGGCCTGGAGGGAGGGGGAGGAGCATAGGGCCCAGAAGCCTGTTGGAAATAAGGCCCAGATCTGCTTAGATCCTGAGGATCATTGTACTGCAAAAGCCTCAGGAGACCAGGATGGAGGATGGAAAGGCTCATAGATAACTTCTCCTCCCCTGGGAGGGCTTGGCTGGGGCCCACGGGTATCACCTGAAACCTGCTGTAGTTGCCCTCCCTTCTCTTGAATAGTTCTGTTGAACTGCCTCTCTAGGGCTGCATGTCTGCATTTTTCTGCCCTCAACTCAGCCAGAGTTGCCTTCTTAGGGGCTAGAGCCTTAGCTCTGATTTTAGCAGCCACCTCCCTCTGGACTGATTGGGTGCGTTGCCTACAACTTTTTCTCTTATTGGCTTAAGAGACCGTTCCACTGGGGGTGGGGGACTCTGCCTGACCCTTGCTCCATTTGAAGAATAAAGACTTACAATGGAAACAAACGGTTTGTAAATTTTTTGTATTAAGCCCCTTAGGGTATAAATTGGCCCCTGGGCTTACAAAATGGCTGCTCACCTCGTGGTGGAAGGCTTCAATCCAAGATGGCCGCTGACTATGGGAAACAGGCTCTGAGATTGAAGAATTTCTCCTTAGGCTATAAAGAGCCCCGAGTGAAGTCAGCAAAGGGCAGCCTCTGGCCACACGATCAGCTAGCTGACGCTGGTATTGGTTTGCCGATCGCTTTTTACGACCGCTCAAACTGCAGGCGTGGGGGAGGTCTACAGACGCTGCCCAACTTGCCTGAACAGCGCTCTGGCAACGCTGTTCCCAACCTTGCAGGAGAGAGAGCGAGAGAGAGCCCTGCTCTCTTGGAAGAGCAGCTGCCCAGATCCTGGGGGCTGCTTGAAACGAGGAAAAACGGCACTGAAGATCTCTGGTGAGTGTTAGATAACAGAAACTTTCAGACACAGCTACTGACTGAAAGGAGCTGAGTCAAAAGCTGGGGTCTCTTCCGGGGGCTGGATTTTATATCTTAGTACAGACTCAGCTAAATGACATCATAGGAAGGAGTCAACCCATCCTGGGCTCTCGATGCAGCATGGAGGAGAATAACACAGTCCTTTTTGATATTCCCAAAAGCCCTGAAGTCTTGACTACATTGTCAGACCTGGGATAACCAAAGACTTGTTCAGATGGCTCCATTGTTGAGATGGCCATTTTTATCCTCCCTCTCTTGTGATTTGTATGTTTCACTGTTATGACATGTATTATTAAGGATGCTTATATTGTATATTTTGTTTTTATTTTATTTTATTTATCTGATTGTTGTTTGCTACCCAGAGTCACCTCCAAGTGGGATGGGCAGCTATACAAGTTTAATATTTAAATAAGTGTAATGATTTAATTCCTATAGATACCCCTTTTGACTTGTAGATAGAAATGCTCTGGGTCCACTTTTCTATATACGAGAAAAAGTCTGGTTCCTTAGACAGAGAGGGAACAATTGCCTCTTTGCTTATGTAAAAGAACTCTGAGAATAAAAAAATACCTTTATTTGTATATGCGTGATAAAATAAAACGTGGATCTTATGTAATAGTTTGCTGATAAATAGATGAAATGCTAAAGCTCAGTGCTACTACATTCTTATATGAATACTGTTTGTCAATTTGTGAGCAGGAAGAAATAAAACATTAAAATAGAATAATCAGCTTTGTGGTAAACAAAAAGGAAAGGCATATTTGAGCATAATAATATGTTGGCTTCTATTATCATACGAAAACAGAAACTTTCTACAGACTTTTCAGAAAGATGCATTAACGTTTGGTACTGAAAGTAGTTAGACCTTAAGCCAGACTCTATGTGTTTCTTTTAAAAATGTCTTTCTCTCCCCCCTTTTCTTCAGGTGTAACAATGTTCCGTGTAGATGATATTTGTCTGCTTTAAAAAATCAGCATTTTAACCAATTTAGTCTTCAAATTTTTCATTTAGCCATGTTTTCCTTATTCTTTCCACATCTTTTTGCTCACCATATTTGTTCATTCATTCATTTTTAAACCTGTTTTATTACTCTGCCCTGTTTGTTTTCATTTCTCTCTCCTAATGTTAGAACTACATATCAAGAAATTTATGAAGATACATGTATAAGAATTATAGCAAAGCACTTTACTTTTTTCATTATATTGTGGAGACAGATTAGCTAATTCATAAGTTAAAAGAGAGCATTTTCTTCCTGCTCCCAGTCACTAGAAGAAACCTAGGTTTGATGACTCTGAAGCTGTGCTGAGTGCAACTAATAGGACAGTCTGGAGAATCCTCTTTAAAAGCAGTTCCAGTGTGCATAAACTTTTTCTATTTTACCTGCTTTAGTCATCACAGAAACTCAGAGGCTAAACCTATAATTAAGAATGCAGGTGTTACTTTTCCATGTCATCAAATAATGCAGAGAATATAACTGGTTTCCAAAATGATATGTCAAAGATTCAAATACCTAATGATGGACTAAATGCAATATTAAGTGAGCAGATGTGCATGTACATATGAGAATTTTCTCTTGCTGTTCTGCTGCATACTCTCTGGAAGATTAACATTTGGGAAACAGGCCACATCTTCTGCAGCTAGACTTCTAAAGAAGACCAGAAGTTAGTAGCCTCATCTCCAACATTTGGAAGACAAATATTGTAAAATGTATTTCTTCTATAATAAAACAGCCAAATTGTTCTCCTGTTAGCATGTTGTTTTTTTCATATTTTATTATAGAGATGCTCTTGCTGCAACAGAAGGTTTATTCTTGATATAGGGAAGCTTTTCATTAATCTTACGTGATTTTCATAGTTTTCTTACTACTATTTGATCTCCATACATATTTTTGTAGCATAATAAAATGATACAAGACATTTCCAAATGATATTTTTAAATAATCTATATAATGAGTTTCTAATTTAATCACTTACTGACATAAATTTAGCAGTGTTTCTGAAGTAGAATATGGTATTTCTACAGAGGCAAAAAAAAACCCAAGTTTCACTATTTTTTGTTTCTTGGTTTAATAAAAAAAGTTCAGGTTGGTGTGCATCCAGGTAACAGCAACTAAGAAGAAATACTTGTTTACTGCTCTATTTAGCTGAGTGATTTGTTTATGCTTTAAAGAGATTACAGTGACTTATAGTGATCTGATAACCTGTATTTGACACTGGTTGACTAATTTTGAGTCATTGTGCCATTGGCAACTTTTACTGACCATATAGATTTTTTCTATCATGACCTGTCCTTAACCTGATCTACAGTATCCATTGCTATTGTACCTGAGTCTATCCACCTTGTTCATGGCTGTTCTCTTCTTCTCTTTTCCAGTATTAGAGAGAGCTTTTGGTAGAGAGCTATGTCTTTGCGTAATGTGTCAGAAGTAAGATAATTTGGGTCTGGTCATTTGTACTTTAAGTAAAACTCTGGATTGAGCAGTTTGAAGATTCATTTGTTCATTTCCTTAGTCATTCATTATATTTTCAAGAGTCTTCTCTAACACCAAAATCAATATTCCATCTTGTTTCTTCAAAGTCCAACTTTCATTGCCTTAAAGTATCACAGGGAAAAGTGCTTGCACTATTCTGATCATTGTAGGTATAGAAACATCATGGCATGAGTATCTTTTCATGGGTGATTTTAAATACACTGCTAATCTGTGGTATATTTCTTGACTTGATGTTTTTTATTGTTGATCCTAAAAGGCAGAAGCTATCATTTCAGTATCTTCATTCGCATTTCTAAGGTTGATGGTTATACTTGATGTTATTCATTTGTTGTCTTATACTTGATTTTAGTGCATTTTATATGATAATGAAGCTGTTCATTTAATTCATGATTGGTTTAGGAACATGTCTTTTGAATATTAATAGATGTTGAACTGCAGTAGTTACTTGAATAATTAGTAAATTGAAGTTTACATAGTTGTATCAGGTAGTTTTAAAGCAAGCATTGTTTTATATCCCATTAGCTTAATAAATTTTTAGAAACTTAAGATGACATATTAATTCTTAATTTTAAATCTTGTCCTTATTAAATCTGATCTGTTCATAATTATATATTATTAGGCTGATTACTTTTTAATAGATGAATGACTAAAAACAAAATGATTCCCTTGACAGTATTAACTTACGTTGTCAAAGAGGAAGATTTTTTCTTAAGGTTCTGGTGAAAAAAAGACTAGTAAGTTAAAAAGGAGTGATTCCCCTCCCCATTTATTGAAGAAACTTTAAATTGTATATGTACATGTTTATATAGTTAAACATTTCATTACATGTTTGGTTTTTGGACAACTATAACCTACTTTTGAAGCCTATGGACAGACTTTAAATGTTCAAAGCAACATTTTTTAAAAAATAAAATCCTTTTTATATTGTATACTCCCAGAATTGTCATCCAAAAATTCTGCTGCCTGGACATTTTGGAAATTGTAGTTCTAACACACCTGATAAGTGTCAGGTGAGAAATGGTTGGTTCAAATTTCAATTACTGGAAGTTTATTCATTTTGATAAACTGAAAGACTTGATAGTCTTCCATTATGGTACAAGAGAAGTCTGTTAACTAAATGTGTTTGCTGTATCATTTCTTGGCTGCTATGTTAATTGTCAACATTCTGCAGTGTTTGATCTTGTCTTTTTTCTCTTATTTTGAAGAAGAAAGAAGATTGGATATAGATGAGAAGCCTCTGGTTGTACAATTAAATTGGAACAAAGATGATCGTGAAGGAAGATTTGTGCTTAAGAATGAAAACGATGCACTTCCTCCAAAGGTAAAAAGAAGCAATATTCTGTATATGTATACATATTTGAGCTGTGTTAGTGTGTATATCTGAGTTCTCCAGCATGCTGATTGGAGAATCCACACACACATGGGTTGATTCTGCCTTTCTGCCCAGAGTCATCAATCTGTGCCACGCCTCTTCCTGTCAGACCCAGGAAGCCCCAGTCACGACTCAGTCTTGGCCCGATAGAGACATGGTAAAGATTGGCTCCATGTTTTGTAAAAGCAGCTATTTCTAAAGTGTGGATTCCCCAAAAGGTTTGAAAAGAATAGAAGACAGGCAGCAAAAGGATTTCTAACAGCCTGTTCTTCTTGCCCTATTATCGCACGGCTTCCCTGAACTACCAATAACGGCCCAAACCAGCCTGGCATAAAGGGGGTAGCTCTACATCTAATTCCCACCCTTGGGAAGGTGCACCCTAGAGCCCAGCCGCCGCCAAAAGCAACACACAGAATGCATGTCTTGGCTCACCTGGGTACCTCCGGAGCAGCCGTTTACGATCACAGTGCCCTGCAGAAGATTGTCAGGGCCAGCAGGTGCCATTTTGACTGTGACCACGTGGCGTATGTACAGGCTACCCCAGGGATCTGGTCTTGCTGCCACTGCTAACAGCCAGGGGAGGAAGACCTAGGCTGAAGACTGCCTGAAGATTAACAGGGGCTTAGGAAGATTGAGCAATTAGCCTCTCCTCCCAGGGCAGTCTCAAGGCTCAAGCTTATACAATGGCTGATCACTCAGCAGATAGCGTGGAGCCCAAATTTTCTAAATAATCTTCTAAACAGAATTCCAGAAAAGCTAGATCTGCAAGCAGGGATGCAGCAGACAAAATAAGGGTAAAAGCCATTTATTCAAGGAAACCTACCAGAGCAGAAGAAAGGGATGCAAGTAGAAGGCAAGAAGCCCTTGAAAAGCAGTTTTCCAGAGCTGAGAAGCAAGCTGAACAGGAGAGGTATTCCCCCTTCCCCCAGCCAAGGCTGGCTTTTCCCATCCTCAACAGCCAGTAATGCAAGACTTGACTGCAATTCAAAGAGCATGGTCACCAGAGGGTGATAGAGAGCAGGTTTATCTCGCTTTAGTAGAGGAAATTCAAACAAACATTTCCCTTTGCTTCCATGGCCCCTAATCCTGCAGAATCACAGATTAGCAATAGACCCAGGGTTCCAGAGGCCACATGTATTCTCACTGTGGCGGTGCTCCGCTCAGCAGACAGACTTGGACCAGAGTTGTCTGAGGAAATTAAGGCCCTTATATCTCAGGCCATTTCACACTCCTCTACCCTGCAGAGGTAGAGCCACCCCCCCCCTTCCTTGGGGTCTGAGCTTCCATTGCAGACCATGCAATACCAAGTACTTATGGAGGCACTTAGGCACCAGAGGGCAGAATCACCAGCCCACTCAATTAGGAGTAGGGCATCAGTGATGGAGGAGAAAGACCAAAGGGAGCAGGGATTTTCAGAAGATGAAGATTTATTTCTGACCCACCCGCCTTCACTGGGCTATTCAGCCCAGCACTCTTTATATCTCTACTCCAGAAGGCCAGGACCACGGCCCAGATAAGTACAGAGCCTTGCTCTCAAGCAGAGCCATCTGACAACCAGGGCCCTAATAGCAAGGTGCTTTCTGAACCCAGGTCATACCCTGCCCCAAGCTGTTCCTTGACGTCCAGAGACTACCTTTATTAGGCTTATAGTACACGCTTTGAGGGGCACAATGGCTCAGTGGTTAAAGATGTTGAGCTTGACAGCCCAGTTTCAAGACCTGAGCATGGGGTGAGCTCCGATCCTTGCCTCAGCTCCTGCCTACCCAGCAGTTTGAAAGCATGCAAATGAAAGTAGATAAATAAGTGTCACTTTGGTGGGAAGGTAACAGTGTTTTGTGTGCCTTGGGCTGGCTCCCTGGACTAAAAAACAGAAATAAGCATTGTCCCCTAGAGTTGGACCAGACAAGATAGGGGAAATCTTTTCCTTATACCCCTTTGGTAATTTAACTTCTACAGAAACTTCACTCAAATAATTCTGGTTTGAAATAAATTATAGGCAGGAGTGGGATTCTACCAGTTTGGACCGGTTCTATAGAACCAGTTGTTATGAGTCTGCACAGTTTGGAGAACCGGTAAATCACGCCCCTGGCTGGCCCTGCCCCTTCCTGCCTGCCCACTTGCTACCCTGCCCATTATTCCTCATCTCGCCCACCACGGCTAACCTGCCTTCACCTGCCATTGCTGCCTGCTTTCCACTGCAGCCCTGATCTCCCTGGGTGAGTGAGCCTACAAGCAAGCCCCGGTTGAGTCGACTCCTGGGCCAGCCTAGGCCGCTGCACTGTCCCTCACCCATCCCCGGGGTTGCCTGGCTTGCTTTGCCATGACCTAGCTAGCTAGCTGCCTCCCCACTGCAAGGCCATGGCCGTGATGGCCGGGAGCGAAGGGAACATTGTATTTCTCCCTGGCCATGAAGAAGCTGCGGGGCCATGGCAGTACTGGCCGGGAGAGTAGGGAACATTCTCTTTCTTCCCCTGGTGCTGCTGGATCCGACTGGGAGAACGCCCCAGTGTGCTCTGCTGCTGCTGCCTCCAAAGCAAGGAAATTCCCCACTACCGGCGCGTTTCCAGGATGCACAGCCACCTCTCTCCCCCCGCTTTGTGTGTGCATGTGTGCGTGCAGTGGAAGTGTTCCTTCAGGCAACCCTTCTCCGCCTCCCCCTCTTGCCATTGGTGGCTGTGGTGGGGCCGGGAGGGTGGACACATGCGGGGAGACGCTCCTTAAGATCAGGTAAGAGAAGCAGTCCGGAGCTGATACAAGCTTCTCCATTTTTCTTTCCAGCTGGGAGAGCGAGAGCACTTCTCTCCTGGCAAAGCAAGAAGCCTGAAAATCCCCCTCTCATCAAAAGAGAAGCAGCTCGTTTGAATCTTGTTTCTCTCTGCCGCCCGGGAGCCCATTCAATGAGAGGGGGACTTTCAGGCTTCTTGCTTTGTTGGGAGAGAGGCGCTCTCATTCTCCCAGCTGGAAACAAAAATGGAGAAGCTTGTATCGGCTCCGGACTGCTTCTCCTACCTGTTATTGCTGGGAAAGCACCACTGCAGCCGCTTACACAAGGTCCCCAGAGCCAGGATCGCTGCCTCTGCCACCCGCGGAGGTGTTTTGCGAGGTCCAGGGGGCGGGTGAGCAAAGCGCGGCTGCAGCCGCCGCCATGCGTGGAGGTAGTTTTCCTTTTTCCGCCACTCAGTGCTGACTTGAGATTGCCGGATCATTCAGTTTGTCCCAGGTGTGTGTGTGTGTGTGGGTGGGTGGGTGGGTGCGTGGTGTGGGTGTGAGTGTGTGAGAGGTGTGTATATGTGAGTGTGTGTGTGAGAGAGAGACGGAGCAAGAAAAAAAAGAAGGGAGAGAAAAAGAAAGAAAGAAAGAGAGAGAGAGAAAGAAATAGCGAGAAAGAGGGGGAAAGAGGGGGAGAGAGAGAGAAAGTAAGAGAGAAGGAAGAGACAAGAAAAGAAAGAAAAGAGAAAAAAGGGAGAGAGGAAGAGAAAAGAAAAAAGGGGATAGACAAAGAAAGGGTGATGGAAGGAAGGGACAGAAAGAAAGAGAACAAGAAAGAAAGAGAAGAAAGGAAGAGAAGAAAGGAAGAAAGAGAGGGACAGAGGAGAACATGAATGAGATGTATGGATGGATAGATAAATACATGGAAGGAGAGAGAGAGAGAAAAAAGGAGGGGAAGGAAGGACACAAACCCTGGCTTCAGAAGATTATTTGAAGCAGCACAGCAATCTAGGGCTGGACTATAGGGGGTCTCGGTGGTCATCTACTCCAACCCCCTCCAGCAGGAGATCCTTACAGAATCAAAGAATATCAGGGTTGAAAGTGTGTGTGTGTGTGTGTGTGTGTGCGTGCGTGCGTGCGTGCGTGCGTGCATGCATGACTGTCAAAGCTCCATAAACAGGTCAAGTAGCTCTCTGGCAAGGTCAGTCATAAATTAGAACACTTGCTAAGCAGCTGGCCATTAAGTGAGGACCACTTGTATTTGGTTTGCCAGTCACCTGGCCATGCCCACCCAGTCACATGATCACCAAGCCACACCCACAAATTAAGCCACGCCCACAGAACCAGTTGTTACAAAATTTGAATCCCACCCCTGATTATAGGTCAAGAATAATGAAATTGGTTTGTTGAAATAATCAGAACTTCCTTTAAAAATAATCTTTGATTGGAAGATGACACTGAAGCTGAATTCTGTCAAAGTAAAAATAGTCACTCTCCAGACAGTGTAAAAGTTGTCATTTTGAAGGCACACAGAACTGTATCCACATAGGAGTAAACTTTGGTTCAGCATTGTGAATAAATTGTAACCATTCTGTGTTAATCATCTTGGTCAAATGTTGAGATAATTCTTGCTGATTATTTGCCAAATGTATAATTTTACTATTATTATCACCATTGGTATTTACAATTGAATGGTGTTGCTTTGAAAAAAAATACAAATGAATCAAAATACTAATAAAATTGACATGTTTCAGAAGGCTCAGAGCAATGGCCCTGAAAAACAAGAAAAAGAAGGAGTGATCCAAAACTTTAAGCGGACCCTATCAAAGAAAGAAAAAAAAGAAAAAAAGAGGCGAGAAAAAGAAGCACAGCAGCAAACTTTAGACAATCATGGGCCATTTCATGGAGATGATACGTGAGTCTCAAATCACAAAATTACAAGAATTATTAAAATAGGTCTTTTTAAAATTACTTTACTGTTTGTTTCTTACCACATAACTTTATTTGTAAAAAAATTTTTATGTGCAGAACAGCACTTCCATTCATAAATATACGTGCCAAATATACTTGACAAGAATCCAAATTTTGATCACATGATCATGGGGATGCTGCAAGAGTTGTAAATGTGAAGAACAATTGTCAATGTGAAGAATAATTCACTTTTTTCAGTGCTGTTGTTACTTCAAATGGTCACTAAACAAATGGTTGTTAGTTGAGGACTACCCATACTTTTTATACTTTTAATAGTAACCAGAAATTAAGAATAATTAGTGCCCTTTTTTGTAATAAGTTTTCAAATATGTGGTCTTCATATGCAAAAAGCCATACATGTTTGCTCATCCCTCAATTGTCAGATGGTGCTCCATTCAAAATCCAAGAAAGACACTCTTAGACTCCATTGTTATAGAGAAAAGAAACTTTTACTGGAAATCAAGTGGTAGCATCAAAAGAATTCTAGATCTGAGAATTTACGCATGGAAAACACATATACAAAGTTATGGCAACATTCCCACCCACAATAGTTCAAACGGTCCGTCCAATCAAAGATGTGTATAATGTCATGTGGGACATCTTCAGGTGGTGATGCAGGCATCTGGGTGTTCACCTTGGCCTAGTTTGATAAAGAGCTGCAGTTGTGCAGTAAGCAAGCAAATAAGCATAAGCAATAAAATTTTCCCCAAGTTATACAGTTCATTCTCTAAAGCCTTCAGCACACTTCCCACCCCACAAAGCCCAAATGATTTACCCTCCCCCCATTACTATGGCAGCCAAAAAGATAACAAAAGAAAGGAGTCTCGAAGGCTAACATTTATTCTTGGAATTACTTTAAGCAAACTTTTTGGGGAAAATGTAAAGAAAGCTTCCTCATCACTTAGTGACCATTTTATACCACTAAGATCCTAGAACTATTTGTCACCTAAAAATTATGAGAATGTTCAAAAAACTGGTTGATGAGATGATAAGCTGGGTTGGGTTTCAGATAAATGGTTTTGTCCATTAATGACTACAATACATTAACTGTTTATCTGGTCAAGTACCTTTAAGTAACAGAGGTACATACCTCTGTTGGCTTCACATTAATATGTATAAAACTTATGTATAGAAAGTATAAGTTTTTTTATTTTTTAAAAAGGAAAAGTACTATAAACTTGCATATTCTAAATAATTCTTGAAATTTCTTTTGGCAGTGAAAACTCTCGTCTTGCAGCAGAAGTCTACAAAGATATGCCTGAGACCAGTTTCACTCGAACAATATCTAACCCAGAAGTGGTAATGAAACGGCGGAGACAACAGAAGCTAGAAAAAAGAATGCAAGAATTTCGGAGTTCTGATGGCAGGCCAGATTCAGGTGGAAGTTTAGATTAAAACCAAGGAATTTATTTGATGTTTGAAGGTTGGATGTTTAGCAAGAGTGTACAAAACTAGACATTTTCTTTGACAAGTAAATCTTTCTTCAATCAGAGTACAATATTCCTAAAAGGCTATCTTTTGAAAATACTCTTAGAAAATTAGAGGTTTATAATTACATTTGTTATAATTGTTATTGAAAGCATGGTGTTTTTCAGAAAAAGTCATTGTATTTTGAGAAAGATCTTTCATTTTGAAATTATTGGGAATTCCATGAAATTTATGAAAGAAATCAAATCATATATTGGTACGTATAACTTGAATTAATAATTTATTTTTTAGGTGGAACACTAAGAATTTATGCAGATAGTTTGAAACCAAATATACCATACAAGACAATCCTACTATCTACTACAGATACTGCAGATTTTGCAGTTATTGAGGCCCTGGAGAAGTACAGCCTAGAAAAGGAAAACCCCAAGGAATATTGTATTGCTCGTGTGAGTAAATTATTGAAAAAATAATAATGTCAAACTAATTCCTGAACATTTGTTGTCTTTCAATGCTATCTCATTTGATTTTTATATCTGCTATTTTACATTATTATTGACAAGAGAACACTTATTTCTTAGTCAGTACCAGTGTTAACACAGTAAGTGTTTTGTCTTTCTGATTTGATTTGGCTATTAGTAGTCAAGTAGTAATTTAAAATAAGAGTTATTCTGGACTGGTTAAATTAGTGAAATGATTTGTTTTTTCTTGCTTTAATGTATGATTCTCAGAGCAGCTTTAGTAAAGCAATCCAATGGAATAAACATAAAAACAAATAAGCCCTTTTCAAGGTAATTCTTTTGAAATAACCTTTAAACTTTTTTGCTGGATCCATTTTCAATTTGTGTTATAGAGGAAATAGCTCTATAGACATTAAGGAGTTGTACAAACACATTTATAGCTAACAAAAAAGTAATTCCTTTGCTTTCTCCATCTTTGTACCTCTTTCACCCTCTCACAGTCTTCCTCCAATGACCCCAAATCTATGAATTTTGCTTTAAGCATGAGATATATAGGTAGGAAGGAGGACCTTACTATTTTGTTTTACTTAGTAAAAAGATGCATAGTGCCTTGACCCAGTATTACTAGAAACTCAACTCTCTACTGATAGGAGAGGCAAAGCTAAAAGAACCAAAGACACAGTGTTCATACTTCAGTCATATTATAACTGTTCTACCTTTTTTACTTTGTAATACTGAAACTCAGAAGTAAAAGCTCTGCTTAAAACGTTGTCCTTGAGTAGCAAGTTAAACTGAAGTATAAGCAGGGTGTAGATTGAAGCATGTTATTATTACCTGGCTTTTCTTTAGGTCATGCTTCCTCCTGGTGCTCAACATTCTGATGATAGTGGTGCTAAAGAATCTATTCTTGATGATGATGAGTGTCCACTTCAGATATTTAGGGAATGGCCAAGTGATAAAGGTAATTTTCGTTTTTTAAGGTATGTAACACAACTTAGTGACTATTTTGACACACTACCATTGGTGAGTTGTAAACAAATCCAGAGGGTATGAAATTTTTGCCCAGACTTTTGAATAAATAACAAAAGACTTTCTTGAAGCACCTGAATCTGAATTGAGATGTTGTAAGTTCCTCAGTGGCTGAACTATCAAACAGTCCAAAGTGTTTATATGGCCTAAAAAAAAGTAGGACTTACATAGTGAAGTTTGTGTAGGCCCATTGCCTAGCACTAAATAAACATTGGTAGTACATCTGAATGGAAGTGGATTTTGTAATGAAGCTGCATGTGATAGAGAATTTTAATTTTGTAACTTTGTAATAGGACAATAAGATTGCCATTGACCATTTAGTGTAATTAATTTATGCTTCTATATTTTTTAGGTCACATTCAAATGATCTATTTGTGCTTCTGTATTTTAGGAATATTAGTCTTTCAGTTAAAAAGACGGCCACTTGATTATGTCCCAAAGAAGCTGAAGAAGCAAGTTGATGTAAAACTATTAAAAGGAAAGGAAAGAATTGATAGGTCTGGTTATGGCTCTTCTCTTCCACCTGAGAAACTACCTTACCTGGTTGAACTAAGTCCAGGTAAGAATTATGTTATTAAAATGTTATTTGTGTTTGGAGTGATTGGCTTTCAGAGACTTCCAGTCTGGAATATATGTGCTCAATTTGCACACCTTTATAGAAAAGAAAAGAAATAGAGGATATTCTTTGTGTTTTTCTGGGTTATCCAGAAAAAGCCATTGGAGCTTTTTTGCATGTTAAATATTTTAGATAAACTATATCTACACAGAACCAGAATAGGAGTTGTTATACATATTCGGTGTATAATATTTGTGTTTCTGAAGTGTAGCAATAGTAAAATAATTTCCTTAAAGTCTAACTACGTTAGCATAAATCTGGGGTCTGTCTTAAAATAATCAAAGGAGTGTTACACAAGGAAAAGGACCTTAAGGACCATAACATTAAAGTCTTTTCATATATTGATAGAAATGTTCCTGATTAGCTGAGAATGTAGAGTACCACACGATATGCCTTTAAAGATAAATGTATTAAATAAAAAACTTTCCTTTGAAAGAGAACCACTTCACTTTGACTATAGCTGACAGAGAAGAACATATCAAGAATGGTATAATGTAGGAAATCCATTCCACTGGAGCTGCCCAAATATTGCTTTGCTTTCCTTTCTGCCTCCTTGCCTTGCAGAGTGAGTTCTCCCTCCCTCCTTCTATCTCTTCCCCTGACAAAGAGATTTTTCTTACTTGCTCACCATCTTTTTCATGCCTTGCCTGGAAAAAGAGACCATTGAAGTGGAAGAGCATCTACTGCCTCCTTCCCTATCTCTCAGACAGCCTTTGCCTCCAGCAGGCCTTCCCTGGTTGAACTTTATTTTCCTGCTGCTGCTGCTGCTTTGTGGAGGATTTGTCTCCTCAGAAGGAACGCCTGCCACACAGCATGAGATTAGGGGAGGGTCGTCTAGAGGGCAGGGTGCAAGAGGCCTCAAGGTGCTAATTGCTTGATCTAGACAACGAACCTGCTGTTGCCGGGAGATCCACTGAGTTGGACTAAAGTGCAGTGCAGCTAGGCCGCAGTTCTTTCTGAGGGCATCCCATGATCCAGTGAGCCCATGCCTTGCTAGGCAGCATCTTTAGTGCTTACAAAACGAGTTTGTGGGCCAAAAACGATTTGGAGGACAGAAGGCATGACTCACAGAACTACATGTGTGCATTTACAGTTTTATTCTCTAGCTGTCTAGTCAAACATTTTGTGCCTAATCTAAATACTGGGATACATTCAAAGATTATCATCAGAAGAAAAATAGCTATTTCTAAGATACTATAAGTGGTTGTACAAGAATTCATATAGTGGGAATAAGTAGTGAAATATGTAAAGTGAAAGTACTTTCTCTTTTGTAAAAGTAACCAGTTTCATACCCTCCCCCCATTATTTTATGTTTATGTTTCACATGGACTATTGTAGAATAGAACATTGCTTTCCGATGCAGTCAACCATCTTTATATTTTATTGTTTGATAAGGTGCTTCTTGAAACATCAAATTATTTCCAGTATAACACTAGAGCTGCATGCCATTTCTATACTTCTAAATTCCTGGTTTTATAGTGTGTTGATTGATAATTAATTGTATTCACTTATTTTTGTATAATCACTTATAAGATCATAGCTTCTAATTAAAGTGGAACAAGTATGGCGTCTTGGTTTGTTGAAATACTTGGTTTGTTGAAATATGATTCTGAAGAACGACTCTTCTATGAATGTCCATCAGACATATTTGATATGGTTACAGCAGAAGTGTGGCAGGACCTGTTAAAAATAAAGATAATACTTTTGAGATAAGGGCAGGGGATCAAAAAAGAAAAGTACGTGAGATATTCTATATGAGTGATGTGGTCTTTGGAACCTAAATTTTAATAACAAAAGTACAGAATGATTCTTTTATAAAGCATTAAATATATTGTGTAATGGTGCATAGTTTTAAGTATTATTGATGCTATAGCAATAGCATTTAGATTTCTATACCACTTCACTGTACTTTATAGCCTCTCTAAGTGGTTTACAGAGTCAGCATATTGTCCCCAACAATCTGGCTCCTCATTTTATCCACCTCGGAAGGAAATCTTGAGCCGGTGAGACCCAAACTGCCAAACTGCTGGCAGCTGACGGTCAGCAGAAGTAGCCTGCAGTACTGCATTCAGGAGTCCCCAACCTGGTCCACAAACCAGTACCAGTCCACAGCTTGTTGGGAACCAGGCTGCGCAAGCAGCGGGCAATCGCATGAAGTTTCATTTGCACATGCATGGGAGCTAAGTTGCGTGTGTGAAACCATCACTTCCCCCAGCCATCGCTGCCAGTCCATGGACCAAGAAAGATTGGGGACCACTGTGCTATAGCATGTGGAAATGATCAATATTACTTAAAAAACTTTGTGTCATCATGAATGGTAATAGACTTTGATGTTTTTCATCAGTAAATTCACCTTGGCAATTGGTTAGCTACAGATTTGACGAGTCACAAATGTACTGTATAACAGGGATTCCCAACCCCCGATCCGTGGACCAGCACCAGTCCGTGGCATGTCAGAAACCAAGCTGCTCAAACAAGGAAAGCCCCATCCGTGGGATGCAGGCAGTACATGAAACCACACCCTCTCTGGTCCATGGAAAAATCTCTCTCCATGAAACCAGTCCCTGGTGCCCAAAAGGCACTATAAAGTATCTTCTTTGCTTAAGGAAGTGTCTTTTTAATGTTTCTGATTAGGAAATGTAGACAAATGGCAAAAAGAAAAGTAATCATTTGAATTTTTAGATTTGCTTGAAGATTTCCCTAAAACTGAAGCTAACTGAACATGTACTGTATCTGCTAAATTGCTGAGATCACATAACTGGAACTTTGTTTTTTTCAGAACTGAGTTTACAACTGCATTGCTTTCTGGTCTGTTCCAAAATACTATCTAAACTGTTTGTCTGCCCCTTTAAGTCCCTATATGTCTTGTGGACCCAATATTTGAAGAGGTCTCTCCCAATGTCCTTGCAAAATGAAATTGAGAGTGACAAAGGGATGTATTGTTTTGATGATGCCATCTTGCAAATTAGAATATTTTCCTCACATGTTGTTTTCTTACGTTCATCAAGATTTGTTCTAATCACTGGATGATGTTTTAACTTTACTTTAGCCCTATTTTTATTTTTGCTTTGGTATTTATTACCATTTATCACTGTCACTGTCTTCCTATTTTATTACTATTATGTTTGTAAGTTCTGAAATGTTATATTTTTAATTGAAAAGAGGAAGAAAAATAGTTTTCAGTCTTTTAGTAGGAGCAATTATGTATTTAATTTGATAGCTTTCATTATGGATTGAATTATACTATAGATTAAAAATGTTTAGTTAATAAACTTTCTTTTACATAATGCGTGACTAAATAATAGTTTTTAATAGTCTAAGTATACTTATTCTAAGATTTTTAGAATCTTGGAATAGGATTCTAAGAAAATATAGAATAGAAAAATATAGCGTTAGATACCAGTTCTAATTCTACTGCAACTTTTCTGTCCCTTAAGAGTTAGTTATGTAGGGCAGTTAATTTATTGAAAAGGAATTTTATTCAAGCAGATTTATATTTTTATAGAAAAAGTTATATTAAAAATAACTTATTTAAAATATTTGTCAAATTCATTTTAATGACTCATTGCACAATCAGCCAGATGTTCAGATTAGATTTGGCATTTTTATTCTCCTAGCGAGCATTATTGATTTTATTTATTTTAAGATAATTATTAATATAATTAATAAAGCTATTATATTATTAAATTGATCTTTCTTTGAATTTTCCCTCTATAATTGAGGTCTTGGGAATTGAGGACATTATGTCAGCAAAGCTACTTTTAAATTTTCAATATTTGTAATGCATGGAATTATTTGCGAACTGGAATAAAGGAAATGGGATATGAATTGTATGTTGCAATTAGTATGCTAGCTTTTAGTTGCTATGTTCCATGCCCTATTTATTTATTGCATTTATATATTACCTTTCTCCTGGCAGCTTAAAATATGATAGATGCAGATATTTCCTTATTTCATTCTCACAGAAATAAATGATTTAGGCTGTCATGAGAAATTGACTAGGCCTGAATCGCTCAGTAAGTTCCATTGTTCATATTTTTGTCAGTATACTGCTGAAAACAAAATAAATGTATACTTCCGTCAAATAAGATAGAACATGCGCAAGTTTTCTCTGCGTAGGACATACTTTTCAATATAATGTACATCACATGACAAGATTCTAATATTTTGTTATATCTATATTTGCAAAAAATAAATCTTTGGTGGATATATAGTTACAGGACTCTCTGCTTAAATGTATATTATATTATCCTGGTATAATTGTAAAAAATAAAGACAGAACAGTGAGTATAATAAAACAGAACTATAAAAAATTATTTTCTTGTCTGTGTACAATCGATTATGACCTTTTCATTTCATATGGTGATTTTTCTGTGCTTTCTTCTAGCAGTTTGTTGCCAACTACTTAATCATATTAATCCATCCACAACACCTATGTCTATATATTCTGTGCAGTTTTTAAAGTTGAAAGTATTAAACACACTGCATCCTTTTAAATTGAGTAAGTGCTGGTAGCCTACAGTTTCATTCTTTCCTATCTTTTCTTTTCGCTGCCCTCCTCCGCATGTTCTGCATGGTATCTGTCCTGCTGATGCTGCCTTCACCTGGGTCCTGTGCATGTGTTTCTAATCCCAGGGAGAAGGAATCACTTTGCCTACTACAACTATCCCAATTACGAAGGTAATTCTATAATTTAATACTGCTGTTTCTCACTAATCACTAAAATTATGTTAGCAAAAAGAGCTTCTGTCCATTTTGATAACAAAGCTTTCATTTTCCTTCTTTTATTGCTAAATAGTATAATAAAATTGTTCTCTTTCTCATATACACCGAAACATGGTCAGGATATATGACTTTTGAAAGATTACGGTTTTCCTATTTGTCATTGATAATTTCAATACATTGGAGACTTGGGTTATTACCTTTCTTAAAAAATAATAAACAGTGTGTCCACAGTCAATGATCTCAGACTTTTGTATCATAAATTTCACCATAATGAATTCCTTACAAATATAGGAAAAAGGCACGTATTTTGGGAAGAAGATTTCTGTTTGTGTATATATGTCTTTGTGTATATGCACACACACATGCACATACATTCATACTTCTCTCCACACACCCCTTTTTCATATGTTTTTATTATTATAATTAAAATAAAAGTGAGAGCTGATCCGGTCTGAAGCAGGAGTTGATACTGTGGGAGCAGTCTTTATCTGAGCTCAAACAAAAAAAATATGTCTAAGTAATGAGAGCTGACTAGTGCAAAACATATTTTTTATTTTTATTTTTGGTTCCTAATCCCAAACTGTAAGTTTGTTCTCAGACTTGTAACAAACTGTGCTGAGCAGTTTTATATGTGTATAACATGCATTCCAAGAATGGAACATTCCAGAGAACAACTGAAGAATAGCAATTTCCCGGAAGTTAGATTACCACAACCTGGAGGGAAACTGGAATGTTTTTGTGTTTCCTAGGCTTGCACTCTGCTTCATTTGCATTAGCATTCTTAACAGAGGGTTTGGCTGATTTGCCTTCCTAGTTTTCTCTTTCTCCCCTATGGCTCTTTGCTGATTTATAGAGGCAGTTTGCATCCCAGGTCAACTTTGTCTGCTTACTACCTTGACATACAATGTCCTTACTATACTCTGTATCTAATTGTCTTGTCAATCTGCTTGTTTACTTGGAGCTCACATAATGATATTTAGTACTACCATAGGATTTAGTCTTTGACTTTGCTAGCATAACATTGATGAGAGAACCAGTCAGAATAGTACTAAGTTTGGCTGCTTTGTGATTATATTCCAACTTCTGGGAGAATTTGCTGTCATAGTAATTAACTGAGAAGAACCAGCTCATATTGGATCTACAGAAGATAGATTGGCTTTATAATTGGCCAGTGTTAATTAAAAGTATTTAGTTTGGGCTCAATAACTTGAATCCATATATTATTCATTTCTATTATAATTACAGTTAAAAACTAAGGATGGCTTTATTTTGACAACCCCACATGAAACCACTGATGGGACAAAAATTCAAAAACTTTAGAATGCTATAACCATAAAAGATAATATGAGTGAGAAAAAATTATTTTATTCATGCTTTTTATGCTAGGGCTACAACACAGGTGTTAAACTTGCAGCATCATGTTGCCATCACATGATGTTTCGTGATGTTTTTTCCCTTCACGGAGCTGGAGTTGCCGTGGTCTGCATGTGACACATCCAACCTGCGGGCCACCAGTTTGACACCTCTGGGCTATAAGAAGTTGAACTAGGGTTGTAGTTCATGCTGACTCTTATTTATTCCCTAATTTGCAAAAAAGCTAGGCTGATAGTAAAATTTGTCTTGATTGTATGGTAACAATATTTCTTGTAATCATTTGCCTTTAAAAAAAAATCATTTGCCTTTTAAAAAAATAATAATTCCAAAATTATCCATCTTATATAAAAAAAAATCTAAATATTTTCTTGTAGAGTTTCGTTAAGTGCTTTGAATCATTTTGACTACATCTAGAATGATGAAACTTGTTTGTGTTTCAAACTTGTCTTTATGGTGATGGTGCAGGTAAACTAATCAGTCAGCTTAAGATTCATTTAAATGGTCAATTCTTTAAGGTCTCAGTGAGGAAAAAAGTTAATAAAAGAACACGCTGGGGAGTTATTGCTTATTCATAAAGGTACAGAGGTCTGTGAAACCAGAATTTAGGTGGTTTAGTATGTTTAGGAAGGTTGATGATAATGGCTATGGAAAAAGTGGAAACTCTTCTGGTGCTACTGGAACTGTTGGCCACTTTTAAGAACTTTGATTACAATAGTAGTGGAAGCTGAAGCAATCAGTGCTGCCAAAATGGCTGGTGAAGAGGAGCCTTGCAAGAAGCAGGATCCCAGAGATGTCAAAATCAGTCTAGCAACTGGGGAAGATATGAAGTAGCTATACCCACTTAGCAGCCATAGTTGTGATACTGCTGATCAGCTGTTGAACAGTTACATTTGCTTACTTGAAAGTACTGCCAATCAGCTGCTTGGTCCTACGCTGCAAAATGGTGGAAGGCTGGTGTTGAGTGCTTATGCAGCAGCGAATATTTGCCTAATGGCATGGATGATACCTACTGTTATGTGCTTGGTGGTGCTCCAGGTAATTTGCTTCCTCCTGTGTTTGCAAAGAGGTGAGTGGGATGAGGACAGAGAAAGCTACTCCTTAAAGAAATATTGCCCAATTCTTAGCAGATGGTCTCTTGAGTATGAAATCCATAGAGAGCATTTCACCAAGGCAGCCGTTGGCGGTGCCATCTTAGAGAGAAAATCTTAGATTCATGACTTTTCTTTCAAGGATAAGTGGCCATCTTGGCTCAGAGGCTTTTGCAGGAATTTATGCAAAAATTATGCCCATTCCTAGTTCAAGAGCCCATACTTAGTCATCCATGCTTTCATCAATTCCCATATGGATTATTGCAATTTGCTGTATATGGGATTGACTTTGAAAACTATTTGAAAGCCACAGCAAGGGGCCCAATCCTTCGTTTGCCCCTGTAACACTATTTGTTGTGACTGCAATGGTTGCAAGTGGGTTTCTGAGAGTGATTCAAATTTCTGGTTATCATTAAAGCCTGCAGTGCATTTGGGCCTGGTTATTTGCAGTCTTGATAATCTCTAATTCTTACTGACTACCCAGAAAAATTGATTCAGTTGATATACTGTGGGACCCATTGGGGTGCCAAACTCACATCATTGTCATGTTAACGTGACATATTGGGACTTTTTTCCCCTTTGCTAAACTGGGCAGTCAGCAGTCAGTTTCTATCTACTACCCTAAGGCATTTCCTCTTATTATTAAAGAGAAAGGCCGGCCTTTTTGTATCATGTTCTCTTTTTTCTATTAGCACTCAGAGGAGAGACTGGCTTAATAAAGCAGCCATCTGATCTGTGGGGTTACAGAATTCTTTCAACTCTCTTTAATGGTACTTTAGAAAAGGAACAAATACAGGGTCAATTTTAATTGCTATCTCAGCTTTGCTAAGGCATTTGTCTTTATTTCTGTTTAATATGTAATACAAGAAGCAGTTAAGAAAAAAACAGTGTGACAAGCAAAAATGGATCCTCTAATTCATTGACAATGGGGATTGCTTTCAATTGTTGGAGATTATTGAAAGTAATGATAGACACATGATTGTGGGGGAGTGAATGGACGGTTTAAAAATAAGGGATATGTCTTATTCCTAATTCCAACATCTGTCTCCCTTCCTGCAGAATTAAAAATAACCTCTATACATTGGTATGGAAAAATGCAGATCTTTCTTGTTTCAGATTTTCACTTTGATGGTTCTGCTTGGGGGAATGTATCAGCTGGTAGCTTATTTATAGCCCAGCCTGGTCCTTGCTGATGCCACAGATAGTTGGAGTTGGTTATGGCAATTTTGAATTTGATAGCAACTCCCAAATTTAATTTTTCAGAACTATTCTCCTAAAAACATTTTGGATACTGCAGGAATGGAAGTTGACTAAACAATTTACCAAAACTCAGCTCTTCTAAGATTCTCTCCTGATGTTCTCATTGTAGGGGAAAAGCTCAACAAATTAGTTAAAGCAGCAGATACACTATATCTGCTGCTTTTGCATAATGCTCTTGTAGGACTATATATGCAATATATTCAATAATTGTTTAGTTATAAACAGTGTTGAGACAAAGTAAATGAAAGTTTCAGTTTTATAATCACATTGTAATCACAACACATTGTTTTTAATCTATTTTATTTGGTTTGTCAACTGCTTACAAGATAATAGGTATAAGTAAAAACATAGTTATGAATACATGGATACATATAAGAAAAATAAAAGAAACAATAGGACAGGGACAGTAGGTGAACTGGTGCGCTTATGCACACCCCCTACAGACCTCTTAGGAAAGGGGTGAGGTCAATAGTAGAAAGTCCAAGGTTAAAGTTTTTGGGGTTTGGGGAAGAAACCACAGAGTCAGGTAGAGTATTCCAGACATTGACCACTCTGTTGCTGAAGTCATATTTCCTGCAATCTAGTTTGGTGCGATTAATCTTGAGTTTGTATCTATTGTTTGCTCTTGTATTGTTTTTTTTAAAACAAATTTTATTAATTTTAAAGACAAAACTTCATTAAACATTGAAAACATAAAACCTCTTTCCATTATAAATCTTTACAAGGCAGGTAAAACATTATTTTATATCACATACTTCTAATTTACCCCATTTCCATATAGACACATAAATTCCCTTTAACAAATTTCACATTATTTCTCTTTACTCTTATTCAATCAAATTTCTTTTCTATATTTATCTACTATTAAATCATCATATTTATATTTCCCTCTGACTTGTTTACAATTATTCTCATCTGACATTCCTCCGAGATTTTATTAATTCTCAATTGAACATACACACACAAAACACAAAAACATAAAACTTCCTTTTAGAAAGTAGCTTGGCCCCAGATTACCTCTTTTTGTATGGACTTCAATTAAATTCATGCTCTTCTTATATACCGTTACCTATCTTGTTTACCATTCTATATCTTCTATATAACTCCTCCCCACTTTTCCCTCTTCTTAATTCTATTTTATATATTTCATCTTGCTTTAAGTCAATATATTTATATCTTTTGTCCATTCTTTTCCATTTAAACATTTATCTCATTCTCAATATAAAAAAAGAT